TCCTCCATATAGATCTAGTAAACTAAATAAATCTAGATCTAGATCTAGATCTTGTAGAACAAGTGAATAGGATCTAGGAATAGGCCTTGAACTAGAAATCCGCATCGGATTCCGAACAGAGGGGCTCAGCTGAGTCTAGACTTGGTCTAGATTCTAAATAAATAAATAATTCACGCACCTGATGAAATGCCTTTTACCAACATTAATATTACTGCACAGCCTATGATAGGGTTTGACAAAATAGAATTGGAATATGAATCCTCCACTGAGGTCTATAATGATCTAGAGTATATAAATCTAGATCTAGATCTAAATTCTATTATCTAAGTGAGTCGGACTGGAATGAATCCACACGATCTGAACAATTGAATTTGTCAACAAAACGAAATTCAAAATGGCCGCTCGAGCACGAAACTGAAAGTAGATAATTTAGGTCGTCGTCCTTTTTCGTATTCGCATTTCTACTCAGGTTCCGACAATTATGTTTGAAACGCCGACGTCGGCAGTCGGCGCGAAAACGATAGTGCCGACAAAGCCGACGGGAGAAAAGGGGGGACGCTGGCAGTCGGCCAGGCCTCGCACTTCGCACATTGACTGATACAGGTGGGCCTAGCGATAGCATCGGCCGCCTCGTGGGTCGCGTCGCGAATGTTGGATTTCAGACGATTGTCGACAAACATGCAGGTCTAGTGGAAGATGTCACCATCACATAACACTATATAACTTCAGATATGTATATCTACCAACTTTTCAACAAAAAAAAAAAAACCCGCACATTTTCCCCCTCAATTTTAAGGGTACTTTCATTCTTTTAGTATGAACAACTTCTGTCTATACGGAAGTGTTAAATACTTCTGTCCATGTCAGAGTGTAAGAAATATTTCTGTCCATAAGGGGTAGTGAGTGAGAAATACCTCTGTTCATACTGGGATGAGACTTAGAAATACTTTTGTCCACACAGGGTGTCCTTACACGGGGATTTAGTCCATACAAAAGTGTTAATATATTCACAAGAGTTAGAAATACCTACGTCCATGCAAAAGTGCTAGAAATACTTACCAGAGTTAGAAATACCTCTGTCCACACAAAAGAATTAAAAATGATACTGTCCATACAAAGATACTTTTGATTAATCTGGATCTAAACTCCAGTACTCCTGCGTGCGATGGCAAAGTGCCTAACCACCACACCACAGACACCAGTTAAGAAAAGGAGAAGCGTGGACTTACGAGAGAGGGACAATGATAAGGAAAGGTCCGTTGACTTTCTTTTTCTCCATGAGGTAAGTGATGAGGCCGATGGTCTGGATCGTCTTGCCCAGCCCCATCTCGTCGGCCAGGATGCCGTTCAGATTGTTGTTGTAGAGAGACACCAGCCACTCCAGGCCTTTCAGCTGAAACACACCACAGGACACAGTTAGGTTCTCCTAGTTTAAGTAAGCATTTAAAAAAGTTTTAGTAAGAGTTTTACGGCACTTTCAACACAATAAGGTCATATGAGTGCCGAAGAATAGATGTGTTAAAAGACAGTAACATACACACACAAAAAAAGGAAGAGAGATAAGGATGATAGGTGTTTGATAGGAAAGGAGGAGCAAACTACACCAGATGTTTGAAAGGACAGAAGGAGAGATAAAGACGATAGATGCTTAACAGGAAAGAAGAGGACATTAATAAAGATGATATATGTTTGATAAGAAAGAAGGAGAGATAAGAGCAACAGATGTTTGACAGGAGAGGAGGAAAGATTAGTATGATAACTATTGTGATAGGAAAGAAGGAGGAGAGATAAGAGTGACAGATGTTTGATAGGAGAGCAGAGATAAGGATGATAATTATTTTGATAGAAAAGAAGGAGAGATAAGAGCGACAGATGATTGACAAGAAAGTGGAAGAGATAGGATGACAACGATTTTGATAGAAAAGGAGAAGAGATGAGGATGACAGATGTTTGATAGGAAAGAAAAGGAAAAAAACCCACATGTGAGCACCCACAACCCACCTGATATTCCTTGAGCTTCCCGTTGACCAAGATGGAGGCCTGCTCCACAATCTTTTCCCTGATGGTGTGAGCCAGGGTGTAGTAGTTCTGCTCCCCGTCATCATCCGCATGGCTGGAGGGGGTGGGGAGGGACATTTTGTTTTAGTATGAGTTTTACCGCACTTACAGCACATACATAAGGTCACTTGAGTGCCGAAGATTAGAAGTATAGCTTCGTTTAGTTTTAGTAGAGGTTTTACAGTGCTCGCAACTGCATAAGGTCATATGAGCACCAGAAGATTAGAGGTGTTACAAGAGAGTAACAAACATAAAAAAGAAGAAGAGGAGATAAGGACAATAGATGTTTGATAGGAAAGAAGAAGCAAACCACAACAGAGCCCCGCCAACCACCCAGCAAGTATTGCTATTAGAGAGTAACATACAACAAAGAGAAGGAGAGATAAGGACGATCAATGATGTTTGATAGATAGGAGAGAAGGAATAGAGATAAAAACCATAGACGTTTGACAGGAGAGAAGGAAGAGACCACCCGAAGGAGGACAGAAGGGGGTGGGGGGCTGATAAGGACAGAGGGATGAAGAGCATAATGTGACCACAGCCGAAACTGTTAAAGATCACGACCCATTGTCGAGGAGTAATGTGGCTGTCTTTCACAGTGTCATTATAACGTAGCCACCCTGATCTTTCTACCAACCATTCAAACATGACTTTCTTCTCTAATACAAATAGACTAGCTAAAACTAAAGCTTAAGATATACATTTCAGCCCGAGACAATCTTCGGCCTCATAAAACCAAAGTGATCTTCAGAATCTATCGGGTCACATGGAACATTTGAGTCAAAGTGAAGAACATCATGTCAGGACAGTCGAAATTGTCTAAAACGGCCAACCGTTGACAATGAGAAAAGTGCCTGTCTTAGACAGGTGGACGTCTTGCACAGTGTCATTAAAATGTATTAAAACAACCAACAACAACAAAAATGAAAGAAGGGAAATGGGAAGTGGCCATTTGAACAGGTGACTGTCTTATACAAGTGGCCTTCAGAGCAGGTTCAACAGTACTTCTGTCCAAAGAAAAACACACAAAAATTCACATGACCACGTGACGTTTGACTCACTTTTCTTCCTGTACTGTCTGGTTTTCTGTATCTTGCTCTTCCTCCTGTAGACAAACCAAACGACTTCAATTTAGTTTTTACGTTTTAGTAAGAGTTTTACTCCACTTGCAACACAATAGGGCCATATCATTGCCGAAGATTAGAGATGTTACAAGCGAGTAACAAACACAAAAAAGAAGGAAGAGAGATCAGGATAATAGATGTTTGGTAGGAAAGAAGGAGCAAACCACACCAGAGCACCCACCAACAACCCACTAGCCTTAGTAAGAGTTAGCAAAGAAACATGTATTGCAAATACAGTCAAACCTGTGTAAGACGGCCACCCATTGTCAAGGAGAAAAGTGGCCGTATAAGACAGGTGGCCGTCTTAGGCAGGACTGATCAAGATGAAGAAAATGAACCATTCCCATCTGAGGTCCCAATCAAAAGTAGCCGCATTGTTGCTGTTTTTGTTGTTAGTGGTGATGGTTTGTATTTTTTTCGCAATTTGTATTTTGTTGCTGATTTTGCGCAAAGGTGACATTGACAATAAAACGAAATGTATCAGATGAGGAAGACCAAGTGCCATGTTAAAACAAACACATGGGTCGCCACCACTCAGAGAACGAGCGACGCTTCTGTCACAAGTTCATGTTGACGTCCTTTGTTACTTTGTTACAGACTGGGTAAACAGTTACCACTCCTCTCACCTACGATTTGTGTATGAGTTCTGGGCGGGGTTTATGGGTTTTGAGGGATCACACGCTTACCTCACCAGCAGCAGAAAATTGGTACCTATTGGTCAACAGTGGGGAGGGGCCTACGCAGCATGATCGGTTGGAGGGACTACCTAACAACAACGACAGGTGATTAGATTATGACGGCTCGCCCACAACGACAGGGGTCAATGCACAATTTTTGACAAAAGGTAATGGAGTCACTAAGGTGGCCTTCTAAGACAGGTGTTATTGCTTAGTGTGATAGGGGTTGTGTGTTAAAAAATGGTGTCCGCGGCCGCGTTGGACAGGTGCTCGTTTTATACAGTTAAATTATATAGAAAAAACGCAAGGGGGGAAATGGAAAGCGGCCGTTTGTACAGGTGGCTGTCTTATAGAGGTGGCCGTCAGGGCAGGTTTGACTGTATACATGAATAAATGAAAACTAAAACAAGCATTTTCACATCATTTACAATAAATCAAATACAACCAGCAGATTTCGGTATAACAATACAGGAGAAAGAAAAAAAAGCTTGCTGCTGAGCAGAAATGTACATTACCAAAATGCCGTTTCTTAGAGCTTTCATCCACTATGCCAGACAGGAAAGCTTTCATCCAGTATATTAGAATCACTCAGAGACCCAGAAACCTACAACAGAACCCCCACCACAGTAAGCCAATACTGTACTAAAACTGCCACAAGTTAAACAACACAAAACATTTACCTCTTCCCCACTTTCATCCTCTTCTTCATCGTCCTCTTCTTCTTCATCCTTAGGAGCCACCTGGAAACTAAACAAAAGATGATTTTATAAGAAAACAAATCATCATCTTATAAAGAAACTAAACAAAATATCATCTCATGAGAATACGTAACATTACCTCATTATGAAGCAAAACATTATCCCGTGAGGAAATGAGGAAACTAACAAAATATCACCCCATTAGAAAACTGAACAAAATATCAAATCATGAGGAAACTACAAAGGAGGATCATAATAAAGTCCGCCTACAGACTCGCATAAACTTGGGATTTATCTCTAGCCTGGCCTGAAACTCTCACACAAACAACTTACTTGAGGTTCATCTTTAGCCAGGCCTCTATCACATTGCGACCTCCGTGCTTTCTTGTTGTGTCTTCATTTTTTTAACAGTGAAAATGTGACATCTTCTTAAGCTCACTCTTTGTTATGAAGTGTTTTCACTGTTATTAAACATGGAGATACAACAAGAAAGCACTGGGGTCGCGACATCCCTAGCCAGGCCTGTAATTCTCACAAACAACTTACTTGGGGTTCATCTCTAGCCAGGCCTCCAACTGACTGGCCAGCGGTGCCTGTTCTCCGGTCAGCACAGTGCCTGTGTCTGGGTCCATCACCTTCACACGCTTGTCATCCTGGCCCGCCTCTTCTCCTCCTTGCTGTGTTATAATTTTTTTTACAATAATTATAATCATATATGAAATTTCTACAGTGATCTACCCTGATTAAAGAACACAGGCTCTGAGCACTTTACAAATACCAAAGCAAAACAGATACAATACATAACTCATTAAGCTAAAAACAGATATTACATTTGGTGACATTTGAAAGAATATAAATATTCGATCTTTCTTGAACTACTGGGCCAAGCATTCCTGATATTGGAGCGTGATATACAAATACCCATCCACTTATTGTTTGATGTTTCATAGATGGTAAAAATTTCTTTTTGTCAGCTTACCCTAACCTGCAAAGTGGAATGTACAGTCTCAACAGATTTGATAAATATGAAGGCACCATTCAAGCATTTGTGACATAAGAGTGGCCAACTTGTACATAATTCTTTTCTCAATAGTCAATAGGAAGCCAGAGCAATGTCTGTGAAAGAAATGTAGCAGAGACAAAGAGGAACAAACTTCAGCTTGCAGCTACAACACTTTTTAACAGGACATAGCTGCACCTCAGGAATTTTTTTAGAGGAGGAAATTCACGCGAAGGTGTACACGCTCTCTGAAGGCCAGAGTAAAACCAGTGAGATTCAGAGGCAATATCTTCGAACATCTATGTTTTTGGAAAGGAAAATTGTCATTTTTGTTAACCACACTGAATTAAAATATTTGAAAAAAAACAAGACACTAACAAACATTTGGCCCAGTTTCGTGACTAAAAATCCACTGTTTGTTGCCAGCAAGTGTCTCATAAAAAGATTTCTTTCACTTTTGACTTGTGCAACAATGTAGAGCAGTATTGGATTAAGGAGGCGACACCTTTGCCACTGTACAAAATTTCTTTATTGCACCAAACACAAAGTGCAGCACCCGGCTTGTTCAATTTTCTAATGAATTATTGAAGTCAACACACCCTCTGCATCTTTCTCAATCCAGCTCCATTTATTTTTTGTATTCTGCATCAATATCTCTCAAACTTCCGTCGTTTTCAATGACAACTCGGCGCGACATTGCCGCGATGCTTGATTGACAGTCAACACTGTCGCTCCACAATAAACAATGTGAAAAGTTAGCGCTAGGCACAGAACAGAAGTAGGAAGCTACAGGCTGACATGCGCAAGCCGAGTTTTCATCTCACCCCTGGTACGGCGTTTTCTGCGTGTAAAGAAAGTATCACAATTTGCTTCCGTGAGTGGTCCAGCGGGGGAAGGAGGAAAATAGTCGGAAAAGCTAGATGAAGCGGAGGTAGCCTAGTTTCCGATATTTAGCGGAAAAGTGGCAGCTACGGCAGGAACAAGTTGCAGATACAGTTGGTCAATGTGTTTCTCTCATATCATTTAGCACCAAGATTTAAAATAAAATGTAAAGTCACGTCGAAACCTCTGTACCCTGCATTTTTTCTACAAAATAACAATTGTCCAAGATGACCATCTAAGATTAATTCCTGGACAGACAACGATGATCATCTTGGACAGGTTCGACTGCATGTGGGTTAAGCCCCTTTCATTGAAAGCTTAGGTTACGCACCAGCTAATGAGCATGCCTCTCTCGTCAACATTTAGAACTTTGCTCTGATGAGACTAGACTTTTAATTTTCCTAAAACTTATTAAGAATTACTTAAGACACTTGTACTGAACGACATACACGATAAGTTGACAAGTATAACTCACCTTCTTCTTCTTTTTCTTCTGTTTCTTTTTGCGTTGTTCCTCCTTGTGCTCCTTGACCAGGGTGGCCAGACTGTTGACGTATTCGTCCGTCTGCGAGAGGAGGTATGCCAGCCTCTTGTCTTTCTTCTGATCAATCAGCTTTCGATATCCTTCTTCATCTTCAGCCTGGGGAAACATTCAGTCAGGTCCTCCAGATGAACAATACCAAGAACTTTCCTTGAAAATCAACATTTTTTTCAAATACCCCACACATGAAATAAAAATAAAACCCTTACCACTCAATACTTTATTTTTCTTTCTTGTTTGGGGGAAACCTACCACACAATTTAGACCATTTAGGAGGGAGGCTTTAGAGTCTGCCTGTCAATTCCAGCCCAGGCTGAGAGAGATACAACATCCCATTAGAAAGACCCAGATACTCAATAAAAAATACTCCCCACTTGAGAATCAAAATCAGGTCCCCTGCATGCAAGAGCAAAGTGCCTAACCACAGATGCCCATACTCAATACGTTCTTTCTTGGTCATCAACTTAGAATAAGCCTCCGCATACCTTCTTTCCAGGTCAGTGACTTACCAGAAACCCCCACATGCCCTCTTTCTAGGTTCTTCGAAGGTTAATTTTTCACTTACCATACGCTCTTTCAACATTCTGTCCAAGTTTATCGAGGGTTTTTTTGACTTACCTAAGCCTTAACATACACTCTTTCTACGTTCCTTCCAGGTCATCCACTTACCATAAGCCTCCGCATACGTTCTTTCTCAATCCTCTCCTGCTCCTTTTTCTGCTCTCTCTCTGTGTTGGTGTGGTACGTGATCACAGCTTTGTTCAGCTTTCCGATTTTGCCCACAACATTTCTATGAAAGTCCTTGAAGTCTTTCACGTGCTGCAGTACAGCGTTCAGGTATTCCTGCAGGGTGTCAAAACACAAAACCAATAAACATTCTTTAGCTAAGCCCTCAGTATCAACGAACCATGTATCACTTGACACATAAATATGTCACAGTGCTGTAGAATCAAGCGCTCGTCATTTTTTAAACACATGGAGTTATTATCTTAAAGCTTGTTATTTGTCTTGCTTTTGATGAAAATATAACCATGTATCTTGAATAGAAGATGATTTAACAGCAGACAAAACTACACCAACTGGGACAAGTTTTAGTAAATTAGAACGACAAGGTTCTCAGCTCTCAAATTCACGATTGCTGAATCCAAGAAAGTTGGTAAGTCTCATGTTTCTGTCTGATACAATACAACCACCTGATGTTTCCGTCTGATAAGATACACCCACCACCTGATGGTTCTGGATACACCCACCACCTGATGGTTCTGGATACACCCACCACCTGATGTTTCTGTCCGACACACCCACCACCTGATGGTTCTGTCCGACACACCCACCACTTGATGGTTCTGTCCCACACACCCACCACCTGATGGTTCTGTCCGACACACCAACCACCGGATGGTTCTGTTTGACAAACCCACCTGATGTTTCTGTCTCTTCTTCCTGTCCTGCTCCATCTTCTGCTGCTTCTCCAGCTTCTCCGTGACCCGGGCCTCCCTCAGCGACTGCCGCTTGCTGCGCTTGTACGACTTGGGGTTGAGGGCCGTCTCCAGCGTGGTGTCCCTCCGCATGCACGAGATCACTTCAGCTCTCAGCTACAGGAAGAAACAAGAAAACAACACAAGATCACTTCAGTTCTCAGCAAGACTGACAGAAAAAGGAAAACAATGCAACATCACTTCAGGAAAACAACACAATATCACTTTAACTCTCAGCTTGACCAACAGAAACGGGAAAAAACGAGATCACTTCGGCTCTCAGCTAGACAAGCACCAGATGACAAGCCCATAGCTGTAAAGCATCTCTGCTTGTGAAGTGCAGAAATGTAAGCCAGATGTTAAAAACAAAATTCACAGAAAATTCTAGTTTTTTTTAGCAGGCCTGGCTCTGGCAGGGTGGAGCCACACCCCACACATCAAGAATGGCCCTTGCATGTTTGCAAGCTTTTGGGAATGTCTTAAAAGCCGAAAGCTTACAAATAAATGGCCACCACACTGTTTGTTTCCTTTGGAATAACTTGACAGACAAAGTATATGGAAACAACCCATCAAAAGTGGGGCACCAACAGACTGCCATGGTGACAGATGACTTTGTCAACCTTTTAACTTGGCTGCCAAATAAGAACAAAATGTACCCTAAGAGCACTATCAACTCACCGATCTCTGAAAGTTGAGCAGACGTAAAGCTCTCAGCTCAATCATCCCTTTGATCTTCATATCCTCCGGCATTGTGGTGGGCATTTTCGACAGCTCCTGAATGCGGTGAGCGATTCTCGCAGAAACCCTTGATGTAACAGAAGGTACAATATTGAACCAAAATAATTGTCATTTATGGACATCTCAAAAGGATCTCACACAGTTTTAGGAACATGGTGTCAGAAATCTTATTGTGCTCAATTGTTTAAGTTGTCTTCTCACTCCTTCAATATCTCTATAGGATCCTCAACTATCTCAGAAAATTGGTTTCACAGGCTTGACAACTTTTTCAAAACCCAGTCAAGGACACTTAATGTTATGATATCAGTTTATGTAACAACGAACAAAACGTACATTAAGTGGGACTGGTGTTACTGTTCGAGTAGAAAATGTCCTCTCAAATTCCCCCAATTGCTGAAACCGTGATAGTCTCCAGACAGTTGGCAAGTTTGCTCAGTCTATAGAATCTTCTACTCCCTCAGGAGGATGGTTTGAGAAATCCTGTTCTGCCCCCAGTTTACTTACCTGTTCTCTCTCTCCTTCAACATCTCTATCGGGTCCAGGCCCTGAGGTTTGGCCACTGGCGCAATTCTGTTCTGTTTGTTAGCTAGTGCAGCCACACCCTGAGGCTGTTGAGGCTGTTGCTGCTGCTGCTGCTGTTGTTGCTGTTGCTGCTGCGATGGTGGTGGTGGACCCCCCCGTCCCTGAGCGTCGGCCTGGTGGGGTGGCATGGCCGCCTGGTGTGGGGGTCCTGGCATACGAGTCTGCGCAGAGTCGTGAGGACCTGGCTGTGGACCGCCGTGGCCCCTCATCCCCGCCATGGGAGGCTGACCATGCGGCCCTGGGGCCGGCTGCTGAGGGTGGCCCGCCTGCTGCATCATGCGCATCTTCTGCATCTGATGGGGGTCCCCTGGATGTAAGAGACAGTTTTTAAGTAAGTAAGAGAGGGGTTCTTTTGGGTTTTTTTCTGAAATAGCATATCAGTGCTGAAGACTAGTGGTGTTATTACAGAGTTTAGTTTAGTTTTAGTAAAAGAACGGCATTTTCATAACACAAAAAGGTCACATTAGTGCCAACGAAGAGGTATTTCTAGAGAGTACGGATTAGTTTTACTAAGAGTTCTACGGCACTTTTGTAGCACAAACAGGTCACATTAATGCAGAAGCTAAAAGGTGTTACTAGAAAATAACGTCTAAAGAAAAGGAGGAGGAGAGAGAAGGATGGACGACAGATGTTTGATTAGAAAGAAGGAGCACATAAAACAAAAAGTTTCCCATCACCCATAGACTGACCTGGCCTTGGGAAAGCCCCGACCTGCCTCTTTCCCTCCACAGCCATGCGCAGAGTGTCGGGGAGCGGAGCACTACAGGACAGTAGCTTGTAGGCTTTGATCTGAGCCCTCAGCTGGTGGAGCTGGGCCTGATTAAATGTCTGCCTCGGCGGTCCTTGCCCTGGCGTGCCTGGGGGGATGCTGGGCGGCTGGTCTGGACAAACAAACAAAAATAATCATCATGATAATAATATCATTCATATAGAGCCCCCGATTTAAAAAAGAACATAGGCTCTCAGCGTTTCACAAATAAATACAATAGAACCATGCAAACATCAACAGATGTATGAGGAGTATCCTAAGAATTAAGTAGCAGGATAGAATAAGAAAGGTAGAGCTGTGGCAGTGCTTCCACTAGCTGAAGCTGAAAAGTAAGGAAAATTCTGCCGGGGGTCTGCATAAGCCCCCAGCAGGATCCGGGGACAGAGTCATGTGTGTGTGTTCAGGGGCTTTCGCCCCCGAAGAAATTGAAATTTAGTGCTTTTAGAGGGTTGAAAATGGCATTTGGGAGCCTGTTTAGTTTGAAGAGATTGCCTGCAAACCATAACATTTTTGTTTTCACCAACATTTTGTCTTGTTTGATTTCTTCACCAAGATCTACACAATTTTGGCTATTTTTAAAAGCAGTTTCCCCTTCCATTGCTACTATAATTCAATCAATTTGTCATCGCAACATTGATAGAAGGCAAACCTGGGAATAGTGAATGTACCTTCACAATACAGTTACCCGGCGTATACCCTAATTTTCCTTAAATTTCACGCATGAATGTCGCATGTCACAACCTCAGAACACCATTTCGAATTATTCTTGACTTTAGTAGTTGTAGCATAAATTTCTTTCATTGCGGCCTTTATCACGTTCCCGTGCCGTAGAATCTTCGTATAGATCATTTCTCTAGACTAGTTCTAGATCTAGACAAATTTGTAAAAATGTTTCTTTCTGACAGTAATTTTCTGTCTAAGATCACAAGTCAATTTACTTGATCAACGCGCAGATTTTCCAGCCGCGACAACAATCCGAAGATAAATGGAATGAGTGAATGATAGAAAGGAGGAAATTAAAATTGGCACAAAATGTTCGCCATATTTTGATCAATCCACAGGTAAAAATGTACTGCTGACAAGCCCGCAATGAATGCATGGGGCACAGCGGAATAATTGTTGATTGCAGGAAATGCGCAATCTGGCAGGTTTCTATAACATGAACTTATTGCAGAGAGAATTACAGTGAATATCCGCAACTTATACTAGTACTAGACGACACGAAAGCGAGTACAGATATTTTGCTACGGAATTTCGGCAGTCCTACGCTGTCGCAGCTATTTACGGAGGGAGTTGATAATGATGGAGGAACAAGTACGGAACTCGCAGAAAGTACGGATTTCCGTAAAAATACGGAAGAGTGGAAGCACTGTGTGGGAAAGGACAGGACAAAAGGATATAGACGTAGAAATAGGACTAATAAAGTGGCGTTGGACGGGACACACCTTCAGAAAGCCCAGCAGAAACATCACAAGACAGTCACTGCAATGGAACCCACAGGGAGCACGAGACAGGGATAGGCCACGGGAAACATGGAGGAGATGTGTGGAAAGGGACATGAGAGAAATGAAGCTCACTTGAAACGAGCTAGGAAAGATGGCCCAGAACAGAGATAAATGGAAGGAGCTTGTATGTGGCCGCCTCTGCCAGGTATGAAAGGCACTGATGATGACCACGCAAACACTACTATGTCTTCTGATTAGAATCTTTTATTTTTCTATTTATCATCAATTTATTATCATATAAACTGAATGAATTCAATGTAGCCCTAGAATTTTTCCTGACAGAAAATATACGACAGTGCACAATCAAGTCTATCATTTCTTTAAAGAGTCTCTAGAATCCTAGTAATAATAGAATTAAAATTATGTTACAACAAACTGAAAGAAGCAAAAACGCATTGAACATGACCAGACACTTAGCAGCCACACAAACAAAACCACCACCAAGCAGCCCCACGACCCAACATATACTCACTCTGACTGGTGCTTGGGTCCACGCTCTGGTTGGGCGGGCCCATGGCGCCCCCCGCCATCTGCGACCCTGTCAGGTTGGGGCTGGCACTTGCGCCTGGCATAGACGGTGGCATGTTCTGCACTGGGCCCGGCACTCCCATCCCTTGGGCCTGCATGGGAGACGGGCCCATTCCCGACACACCCATCGACTGCGGCTGGCCGTGATTTTGCATTGGTATGCCCCCTGAGGAGGGAGGCATGTTGCCCATACTGTTGTCCGGCATGCTGGGCATATTACCTGGCGGCATTCCCCCTGCCATGTTTCCCATGCCTCCCATCGTAGAGGACGGGGGCACACTGGATGCAGAGGAATTCATCCCCATGCCCTGCGAGGGGTGGCCTCCCATGTTGCCCTGTCCGTGACCACCCATCACTGGAGCTGGAACGTTACTCTGGTTGCCCGTCATGGCCGGGTTCATGCCTGCAGTTGGGGCACCGGGTCCCATGCCAGGCGCTGGCCCGCCCTGCATCATCTGGTGGCCAGGAGACATTCCGGGCATCCCCGGGCCTTGGTTCTGTAAGGGCATACCTTGTTGAGGCATCCCTGGGTGCATGCTCTGTCCATGTGGGCCCGGCATTCCTTTCCCTCGGTTGCCCATAGGGGGCATCATGTGCTGCTGTGAATAGCGAGGATCCTCTGACATTCCCCCTCGCTCTTCCATCTCAAATAGAAATTCTAGAGGGAAAAAAAAATTACAAAACATTAATATCTGTAAAATGTACAAAAGGAAAAAAGAAAAAGAATGACTTTCATAACTGTTGAAAATACATTTGTGAACAAAACTCACTCACTGATGATCAAAGTAAAAAGGAAAAGCCTACAATCTGCTAGGATCACAAAAACAAAAATCTGTACCAAAGCAACAGCAACAGCTTTAGTACAATTCAACACATTAATTTCAACTTACTTTTAACCCTTTGTCTCCAAAATTTGCTTCCGCATTTGGATGAAATTCAATTTTGGTAAATCAAAACGGAGCATAGCGTCGCTTACATATTTGCCTACAATTTCTTGCAAAATTAAGCTGTAACAGAGTCATATACAGTGGTATCTACTTAACGGCAACACAGATAAGAGCAACTTCCACTTACAACAACCTAAGCTTCCATAAGGAAATTTTTCTTTGTATAACCCCTGTTAACAGCAATTCAAAAAATGTCTTTTTGCTTTAATTCATAAAGAGCCATACAATCAGCTGAGCTTCAAAATCGCTACCATACGACAGCCGCAAACTAAAACAATGCAATGATTGAAAACCCCACTCTCCTCATTCAACAAACCAACTGAACACATCCCGACTGAGAAAAAAAACTGTAATCTCTTTCTTTACAGGTCATCATATTTTGAATGTACTGAATCATTTTACTACTGCCTATTACTCTACTATTAGGAAATAAACTAGACTATCATATTCTCATCAGCCAGTGACAATGTAGGCTATTCAGCAAAACAAAATTCAGCTCACTTGCCACTTGCGGTTTAGTTAAAAAGTTAGATTCCAACCTCATTAACACTTTCCATCTACCCAGCAAGCAGAGCACACAAGCTGTGTCCCCATGTACCAGGAGGTTGCAGATGGGGTACATCACTATTTATACCTATATCTATGCAAAAATACCCCAAACATTATGAAATGTTCCAACATGCTGAGATCATTGAGAATATTTAAAGCGACGATCATATATGTTTACCAAAAAATAAATTAGAATCAGAACAAAAATTTAGGAATAGATATAGTAAGCATATATTCATCATCAGAATCCTCGTCATGGCAACATTAGTTTACTCTAGAGTAAAACTTCACATATGATAGGTTTACTTGACATTTTGCAAACAAAAAATTCACATAAGTTACAGCGCTTCCCTCACCAACTGACTAGATCTCACCCACCGTGGCGGGCCCACTTTGCCGCTTAGCGTGCGATGGGTACGCCACTAGGTTTCACCGCCAACTGCTTGGGCTGTGTGTGCACGCTTTTGTGTGTTTGTGTGCAAATTTATGGAACGAGAATTGCTGAGATCGTTTAAAAAAGATAACACAAAGAAAAATTAAAATAACAAACATGACAAGATCTAGTCAACAGTTATTGGTGAGGGAAACCCAAGAGTCGGTGCATGGTGTCGGCTTCTTGCTACGACAGAAATATTGTCAGTGTCCTACGAGAAACCCTGACTGTTGCCATGATGGATGGAAACTGTGCCTTGCAGGGAGTCGATTCACGACGTCAGCTGAGAGCAGATACGCCCCAATTGAAGGAGAGGCTCTAACTGTGGCATACGCACTACATCAAACACGTTACTACATCCAAGGTTGCACCGACCTCACTGTGACGACGGACCACAAACCGCTAGTCAGAATCTTGAATGACAGGTCACTGAGAGAAATCACGAACAGACGGCTGCTGAATTTAAAGGAAAAGACACTAGCTTACAAATTCAACATCGTCCATGTGCCAGGTCACAAAAATAAAGGTCCTGATGCTGCATCAAGATATCCAGTCATCACCCCAGAATCGGTCAATCCCCAAATGTCCGACATCGACGTTGCAGAGGACAGTGCTACAGTTCTGGCTGCCACGGACACACTGCGGTCAGTAGCAAACATTGTTACATGGAGCATGGTCCGGGAGGCTACCGCCTCTGACCCAACCTTGCAAGAACTGGTCAACTTGATCCGTGATGGTGTCCCAGATCAGTGCAAAGACCTCCCCCTACAATTGCGCCCATACCACAAGTATGCAGCTAGCCTGTCTTGCGTCGATGGCGTCATCCTCATGGGCCATAGAATCATCATTCCTGTCTCACTTCAAAGAAGCATCCTCGACGCACTCCTGAGGGCTTGATCAAACGTTAACGCGAGACATTTGTTACCTTCGGCGTCTCAGAGGAATTAACCTCAGATGGTGGGCCACAATTCACATCAAGCAAGACAAAAGAATTCCTGAAGTCTTGGGGAGTCCACCATAGGCTAACATCTGTGGCAAATCCACACGGCAACTGTAGAGCAGAAATTGCAGTCAAAACCGTCAAACGCATGCTGATGGATAGCACTGGCCGGGTCACTGGACGTCGACAAATTCCAACGCGCCATGCTGATGTACAGAAACTCGATTGACACTGAGACCAAATCATCTCCTGCTCTTATCCAGTTTGGTCGACCAAGTAGGGATGCGATCCCCATCCCAATGGGTCGGTACTGCCCCCACAATACGTGGCAAGAAACACTCATGTACAAAGAAAAGGCCCTTGCTAAGAGGCACTCACAAAGCCATGAAAAGTGGACCGAACATACACGCACGCTGCAACAACTGCAAGTGGGGGACCATGTGTTACGTGTATGTGCAAAATCTAGTGGGAAACCATCCAAGGAAATGGGAAAGGACAGGTGTTGTCACCGAAGTCAGGCAATTTCACCAATACGTCGTCCATGTCGACGGGTCATGTAGAATTACGCTAAGAAACGGACAGCACCTGAGCCTGAGGAAATTCAAGCCCTTCCACAAAACGTCTACGGTCATCACTGGCACAATCCCAAGCATACCAGAATCAGCCCGTCAACAAAAAAGCCCCGACCTTGACTCCCAAGCATCACCATCCCCACCAGAGAAATCCCAACAAGCAAACGGCAAACGGCCCAGAAGAGCTTCAGCGGCATGACCCAGAATCAACTTCCGTCCTGCCGGACAGCCCCGACACACCTGACACAGGACCAGCCTCACCCGACAGCATCTAATCTAGAAGTAGTATGATAGATCACTGTCTAGGCCTACAACTAAAAGTAAAGTATTTATAAGTCCAAGTATTACCTCACCAGACACAGTAGTAGCCTACCGTTCAGACTACAAACAACTACAGTACAGTACAGTGCAGGCCCAGATCCCACACTCCTAGACTCTTAGTATTAGTCTTTAGTCTTCTATTAGATCTAGTTCTAGATATAGATCTATAGATCTAGAATCTAGATCTAGATATCTATGAAAGTGGCTATTCTCACCCGCCGGAAGTTCTCGCAAGATCAACTCCTCCCCTCTTCTCTCTCTCTCTCTTTCTGAATACTGTCTATCGGTGTGGACGATCAAATTGACCAAAACAAAGTTTAAAAATGATGTTAAAACACAAAAGTAAATTAATTTGGTTGTCTACAAAGATGCTACGGCTATTTAACTTTTCGAATCGAGCCGAACTACGCGGGTCTCCATTTTGTTTTGCCCGGAAATTCTCGCGCTACTCCTCTCTCTTTCTCTCTCTCTGTCTCTCTCCACTGCCCACAGACAAAATTGTACGCTTTTAGTAGGCTACAGTTGTAATGGAACGTTTGTTCACGGCACAGAATTCTACAATTTTTCTGTTATCACAGTGTAGAATTCTGTGGTTTAGGGTGAACGCAAAATTTGGTGAACGCGCACCGGGTGAGAATAGCCACAAGACTCGCCTGCACTATTCTCACTCCGGGTGAGAATAGAGGTGGCCGATTTCTATATCTAGATTTAGACTATCTAGAATCTAGATCTAGACTCTAGATCTAGATTCTATATCTACTCTAGATCTAGATTCTAGATCTAGATCTAGATCTAGTCTTTTTTTTACTCTTTATTTACTGAACTGTGTTGTTCCCGTCTGATCAGTCAGAGAGAATCTAGATCTAGATTTACTCGTTTTCATCCCCTTTATCCCATGAATAGATCCAGAAAGTAATTGTAGGGTCATGACACATGCTTCAACGTATTAATAATACAAATCACAATAATAGTGAAAAGTACAAAACGGACACAGACTACACACTACCACCACGACTCTACACACACGCTAAAGAAAGAGAATGCCAAAATGAAAATGGCTGTTTCTCAGCTCAACATTAGTCGGGGAAATGCACTTTCACATCTGAACAACACTTAGAAATTCCGCCACACCTGCTAGCTTACTCACTAGTAGTATTCAACGAAAATTTCAGGGGTTCTAGACATCTAATTGTAAGTGTAAACTTAGAAAACCGGTTACTTACTGTTTCTTTGAAACAAAAGCGTTCACCATCATAGAAGCTAAATTTAGCTTATAATGGTAGCTTGTGGCCAGGATTTCAAAGGAAAGAACTTTTGTTGCTAATAATATAAATGCTTTGATAGCGTCACGTGTCTGATATACTTGACCATGTTCAATTTAAAAACTACTCTTTAGTTTTTAAAAGTAAAAGTAGTATATAAGGCTGGAAATATCCTTTGAAAATTTTTTTAAAACAGGAATGAGGGGGCAAAAACAAAGGAAATACTTGTACAAATAAATATGAGCCAAATTGGCATTAGAAGCAAGCCGACCGAAAATCGATGTAGGTGGCACTCTCGTCGGTGAAGGCAGAAAAACGACGTACACGAAAAAATTATCTCGTCTTATCCTTGTCGTCTTTCTTTTATGAGTTTTGTATTTAAAGTTAAATTAAACTTGAACAAAAAAAAAGAAAAAGAAGCATTCTGGTTTACGATAGTCTTTGAAGCATACCAGCCAGTTAGGACTTTGAAACTTCAGTAGACTTGTCCAAGATTTGGTATTAGATCTAGATTCTACATGCCGGATTGTTGGCTGTCATTTCTGAGATCAACTGAAATTACTGAAGAGAACCTCAGCGCGAAAAGATGATTTGTTGTTATATTTTTTTCTAGTGGGGGGG